ATAATTTCAAAACTATAAGTTCAATTTCGTTATGAAATCTTATTTTTATCATTCAAATATTATTTTCTGAACTTAAAAAATATAAATATGCTTACAAATCGGGAGTACATCGGGAGATGCTGTCGTGCTGTCGTGCTTTCGTGCTGTTCCGACAGCTCCGACAGCACCTCTCGATTTGACCTGATTTGAGCACATATTTATAATTTTAAAGTTCAGAAAATAAATATGAGAGACCAACGAAAGATTTCATGCTGAAATATTGATGAAAATTGGTAAAACCGCCGGTATTTACTATCTGCTGTCTGCTGTTTGCTGTCTGCTTCCCGACTGCTTCCCGCTTAAGCTGATGCAGCCCTAGTTGGACCGTGCAATGAACTTGGTGCACGTGCGCGCACACTGTACTGCAATGCTGCCGAGCCCCTTTCTCCAGCACATTTCTCTGTCCCTCGACCAGGCGATCGAACCTCGCCGCGATGGAGCGAAAACTCATTGGAATATTGCTGCCATTGTCAACCTCGGCAGGGGCGTGGTGGGCCTCAGCCTGGAAGTTTTCACTTCATGACCACTGCTGTTCAACCTCGCCAGTCTCGCCTGGCTGTTGTGTGTACGGGCCAGCGGCCGGGCCAACAACATCAATTGGACGCACTCACGTCCGCGGTACGGATTGGACCTCGCGTGCATAACCATGAACGGCGGCTTCCAAGACTTGCGGAATACAGGCTATTTATTATGATGGAAATGTAACTTCTCCTGTTATTTAAACGGTGAGTTAAATGGCAAGGGCTGTTTTAAATGTGCATCCATTATATTGTACTCTATCCATGACATGTCTGAAGCCAATGAGTTTGCAACTGTACTATTTGCACATATCATTTAAAGACGAAATATTTCTGGGTTTACTCAATGCTTATGACTAGCTTTACAAGATTGTGTATGATTTCATTATCTGGTTTCTTTTTCATTATGCTCAGAGGGTGTCGTTCCTCCTCAGGCTGTTAGGTGACACCTGTTCACTTGTCAAATTTTGTGGTGTGAACATGGAGCCATTCAACGAGGAGACACTTCAAAATATGGGTGGTAAAGGTAAATGAATGAAGATGAGAAAACGGTTTTCTTCCATCTATTTTCATGGGTAACAATTAAATGTCTGTCTATTTTCCAGGATCCAGGAAAAGGAAACAAGCACTTCCTTTACATTGCCTTGAAACTTCACAACCCAGGTTCGTTTTCTTGATTTACTGTCTATAATTGGTTATAAGAAAAGTAGAACTTGGTTTCCTTTGTGTGTTTTCTTTCTCGTTGTACTACTGTGTAGTACAAGTATCTTCTGGCATCATTTTGTCAACTTGGCTTGATGGACACCATCATTTTTTCTATTAGTAATTACATCTTCTTGAACCCCCACAGCTTGTCTCTAAATGGCTTGTCAACCACAATGCACACAGGACACGCAGCAGCTTCTTCTGCCTTTTTTACACCTGGTGGTAAGCATAGCACTGCAGTAATGACAATGTATCAACGTGCCTAAATGTCTGCATATTATATTTTAGTTTCTGGATAAAACCTGGTACTGATCAAACGTGCATTCATTCTACTTCTCTTTTACAGTGGGCATGGAATCTCAAGCGTTTTTTAACCTAGAAGCTGAGGTTGATGAGGATAGTGATGGTGATAATGTGATCCCTAGTGGAAATCTTTTCAGCGATGCTGATGATGGTAAGTATTATAAAACATTGGTTTCTCTGTTCTAATGAGTGCAGTATTCATTGTGATCAATAGATAAAGTGGATTGTTTTTCACATATTTGCATTTCTTAGTCCAGTGTCCTTTGAGAAATGTGCAGTTTTATCCTCTGTGTTTTGTATTCTTCATTGCAACTTATTTCTTTCAACAGACAGTGACTCTGATGATGAAGACATAATGCTGCCAGAAGAAGACGTAAAAGTGACGTGTACTTGGGATGAAATTGAGCACACATCCTCCCTAGAAATACCGGAGTATCCTGATGGTGAAAAGCTCCTGATTGCACCTGATAGGTTTGACCCATATGATCTCTTCCGCCTTTTCCTTACTGACGAGATTCTCTCACTCTTAGTTGAGGAGACAAATAGGTATATTCGCCAGGAGAGCACAAGGGCAAGAAAGTGGATAGATGTCACAATTCCAGAAATGAAGTCGTATCTAGCTATAGTAATAATTATGGGCTTAAACCGTCAGCCATCATTAAAAGACTATTGGTCAACGAACTCTGAAATTTATGGCTGTGATTTAATCAGAAGAATTATGACAAGAGCTAGATTCCAGGCAATCACTGGAAGCCTTCACTTTGCAAATAATGAGACTGCAAATAGCAAGAGTCCCATTTACAAGCTCCAGCCTTTACTTGACATGTTGAACAGTCGTTTTAAGGCTGTCTTGAGTCCTGGAAAGCAGTTGACCATTGATAAATCTCTCATAAAATTGAGGAAACGCCTTCGGTTTCGTGTGTGTCACCAAGATGCCGCTCAACAAATCAGGGCGTACAAGCTGACGACGCTGGATTCATATCACCTGAACATCCAGGTCCATTGTACATCTACGAACGACGATTTAGAACGGTTTCCTACCGCCCAGTCCATTGTAATGGAGCTCATGAACAATTACCTTGACAACGGAAGGATCGTTTACGCAAACCACATCTTTTCAACCATCCCTTTAGTGGAAGCTCTAGCTCAGAGATCAACATTTTACTGTGGCCCTCTTGCCCACAATCGCCTGGAGCTTCCTCCTCAAGTCACAACAGGATCACTAAAAAAGGGGGATATCATCGGATGTCAGTGTCAACATGGGACTAAGGTAGTAAACTGGAAGGACAGAAGAAACCTACTGATGATCTCCTCCATTCCACAACACGACTGCACTCTTCACTCCTACTCTGAAGAACACACTTCAAAGCCGCGCTGCCTCCTGGATTATAAAATGGCCAAGGATGGCGTTGACGTGAACGACTGGACATCTGTCTATCATAAATCCCCATACCGAGGATTCAAGTGGTATAGAAAGCTTGGCCTCGAGCTCATCTGCAATATCTGTGTTGAAAATGCCTGGGCACTGCAGCCCTATGGACCTCAGGGGCGACGTCTCCCCATCACCAAATTTAGAGAAGAGATAGTTCTAAGGCTCGTGCAAGAGGGTGTCCCCGTGGCTCATCCAGCAGCCCCCGAGAGGTCTATGCACACTCTTATAGAGATCGTCGGCACGACAAGTAAAGACGGTCGCAGGTGCACTGTGTGTTACAGGGCACTCATCGCCAGCGGCATGCTGCGAAAGGAAGCCGGCATCAAGGCGAAAAAGGTTTTGACGCGTTGCGACACTTGCCCCAAAGGACCATTCATGTGTCTATCCTGCTTCAACTACAGCCACAGGCACCACTAAGGTCGGATTGCAGTGCAAATTCCTTTTCAAAGCCCCTAGGTTTTCTATGGTCTCGCTGTGGACAATATCCCCCAGATCTGGGAGTTGGATAAGTGTAGATGTCTGTTAAAACGTCACAAGAAATGACGCTGCGGTTTTGACTTATATTTGTAGTAGGAGGACAGAACATGAAATAATTAACACGCAATACGACAGCACATTTATGCCCGCTGAACTTTTCTGTGTAGACGATTGTGGCGCTGCAGTAGACGATTGTGGCGCTGCAGTAGAGGCAGTAGGCGCTGCAGTAGAGGCGGTAGGCGCTGCAGTACTAAAGTCAATCTCGCCATCTTTCGGCACCTTGCGCGTCTCGATGAGCTTCTTGTAAAACGCTGCTGACATCTTCGGCGTGCGCGGCCGCTGCGGATCCGTGAAGTCGACTTGATACAAGCCGAACTTGTGCCTTTGAAATGAAAAGGGGAGAACGTCAGACCGTGTTGTACGTCGACAAGATCGGGAATGAAAGCAATCACTACTCACTCGTAACCAAAGAACCATTCATAGTTGTCCATGAGACTCCATGCCGTGTATACTGCCACGTTGCACTTATCTGTGTTTATAGCTTTAAGCAGTTCCAGCAAGTAAAGCTGTGTTGCAGCGACCAAACAGAAGAGGAAGTTGTTGACATGTTATGAAAGTGTCTAACCAAGGGATCACCCAGAAAGTACGTCCGTCAATCGCCCTTTCGAACCTCCCAAGTTCAGCCTATGCAAGTTCCCACAGCGCCTGTTGGGTAGGCAACATCCTGCCTGCTGTGCAGGTGTGTACTGCGGGATGGCCTACCCCGAGGCTCGCAGGCGCCGAGCTCCCGTATTTTGTTGAAGGAATTAGAGAAAAACGGACGTACTTTCTGGACGATCCCCAATGCCCTGACTCAAAACTATTTAGTGATGGTTTCATACCCTGTAATAGTGCACTCGATTCGTATCCATTAGTTCCCCGCGGTCGGGGTAGCCCTGCTCCGTGACCATGACTTTGGGATTGTCGTACGCATCTTTAATCCAGTTTAGTAGCATTCGGAAACCTTTCGGCGCCACCTAGGATTCAAAGTAGACCGATGAACACTTAGTTTAAGAATTCCAAATTAAACTGACATTTGATTGGCGGATGTAACTGTACCCTGAGCCAGTCCGCAATCGTTTCCTCCCAGGCCGGATCGAATGCCGTCAGGACTCCTGCATCACCGCCCCTGGTTCCCGCTTGCGGTAGCTCTTCGCCCGCTGTCGGCTCGTGGGCAATGCTCGACGTGTAGTGGTTGATGCCGAAAAAGTCCGCCGATCCTAAGGAAACATTTTGGGTTACAAGTATTTAGTAATGGTCCGCTAAAGAGGTGAAGGGATTAGCTGTTTAGCGCGTTTAACTTGGCAGCCAGTTTGTATTCCTTTCGCCCTTGTGCTCAGTGCCTGACAATCGGTTCGTCAATTACGTTTGCAGGCAACAAATGTCGGCTAGGAGA